AATCGTCCATTACTGTTCCACACAAAATAAGAAAAAAAAAATCCTGGCTGCCGTGTGGCCACACCAAACTGTCTGTATGTATTTTGCCCACAAAAGAAAATTAAAAGGATGGTTACGTGTGCTTCAACCGTCCGACCCTCCATGTGTGTCCGCACACCATTTATATTTCATGGGGTCATCTGCGTGTTGCTGCTCCCCTCAGCCCTCTCATCGGCGCGTGAGTGCGGCCCGCAGAGCACAGTCACTCGTGTGTGTGTGGGGACTGAGAGAAGCACGCAGACATGACGGGAGTCGCGTCCCTCCATCGGGAGAGTGAGCGCAGCAAAAAGAAAAGAAATCATCGGAGGGGAGAGAAATGCTCACGAGGCCGACACCGAAGGGTGCGCCACCGCACGAAATAAACACGCAAAGCAAAGCAAATCCTTAAAGAAAAACACGGCGGCAGGGTGTAACTGTGTGTGTGTGGCGCTGCGGGTGTCTGCCCGCCCTGGCCGCAAAGAAAACAAAACAAGAGGGAAAGAAATGTGTGCTCCGCCCCACAGGCCCTCGTCGCACGCCCACACGTCACGGCTCCCTCAGCGCGCCGTTCGTCGCGGCCCCTCCTCATGCGTGCAGCAGGCGAGGCGCACAGGGCCGTCGTCATGAGCGTGTCGGTGGGTGTGCGAGTGGAGCAGTTGGGCGGGAAACACACGGCACCCCTCACAGGAAGAGTGCAGCAAAAAACAATTGAAAGAGGGAAGAGTAGAAAAGAAAAAAAGTCCATAGTGATTGCCCCAAAAGCAAAAAAAGGGTGTGGGGAAATGAGATTAGAAATAAAAAGTAAAAACAAAAACAAAACGCAAAGCAAACAGGGAATAAAATAAATGTTATTTGAGAAGGAAATTTGTTATCACGTGTATTTTTGTGCAGGGAGGGTCGAAGTGTCCCACGCGGCAGCCAGTCACTCCTCACAGAGCCAAAAACACCCACATTCCCAACAGAAGAAGCAGCGGCAGCAGTCCGCTCCCACTCACAGTGCCGGCATCGCTGTTATTCCCCTGCGACAAATTTCCGAGACTGCTGCTGAGTGCCGCAGCCTTTACTTCGCCGTCCTGTGCATGGATGTCCTCCCGTTTCTGCCCATCCGTCTCTCCCGCCGTCTCCCCATTCTCACCAGAGCGCCCTCCCACCTCAGGTGTCACTGCGGCTCCGTCGTGCGCCATGGTTTCAGCGGTAGGGGCATTTGTATCTGCTGTGGCGGGAGTGCCCACTGACGGTTGTTGTGTTCCATCTCCCTGCACCGTGTCTTCAGTTTCGGTGTCCACCGTTTGGCCTCCCTCGGACGAGGAAGCACCATCCACATTTGAATGTCCTTCGGGAGGTGTTCCCGACGCTGACTGGTTATCGGATTCTTTGGCTGCTGGGGAAGTCGTGGCACTGGACACCGCTGACGTGGATAAACCGCCACTCCCCGCATTTTCACTTGTCCTCAACAGTTCCTGTTCAGTCTGCTGTTGCCCGCCAAGACTAGACGGAGTTCCGGTTTTCAGAGTAGCTGGTTCAATCGCCTCTGGTGAATGAGTACCCTTCTTCACTGTTTTTGCGTCTCTTGCTTTTGGAATAGAAAGTTTTGTGTTAAGCGCAGTAATCTCATCGTCATCCAACGGGCGGTTGTACAGCAGGACGTTCGTCACAGTCACAGACACGTCTGGGACCTCTGAGACGCCTTTCGCACCTCCATCCCCTCCAATGTAGAAGTGGGAGATCTCTTTTGAATCTTTATTTTTCAATGCACACGCTTCACTCCCACCCACACGCTGACCATCGACGTACGCGGAGCCCTGGTTGCCGTTCCGTAGCAAAATTACCACCTGATGTTTTTTCGCCTCCCAATCGCGGCTTTGATGCTTGGGGTTTTCGTCACTGCACCGCAATTGCCACTTATTTTTGTTGCTGTACGAAAGTTCAAAAATTTTTTTTTCTCCTTCACCGTCCAGACGCGCACCCATCAAAGTGACGCTGCCACTCGTCGGCACCTTGTCGATGGACACCGTCGCCACAAGAGTGAAGTTGTAGTTCGCAAAGTGGTACAGCTGATTCTCCCCCTGCTTGCCAACGGGCCACTCCACCCACGTTCCCCGGAACATCACACCATCGGAAGTCTTTGTTGCCCCCGTCTCCCCTTCATCCTCTGTTGCCCCATCTTTCTTCTTCACTGTGGCGTTCACCCCGAGGTACTCGTCCCTCCATGTGTTACCAGAGAAGTTGCCGGACAAAAAGCCAACCAGCCCATCCGTGATCTTAACAGTAGGACTGCAGGCATTTTCAGGTGAGGTACTCTCCACAGCACTTGAAGTGGTGCACAGCTTGGAGACAAGGTCGTCCACTTTCTTCCACGTCGCCAGCACATCCTTCACACGCTGCAGCTGCTCAGTCAGGACCACAGACCAAAGACTGTGTGATGGTTTCCCATCGTCCTTCTTCTTCTCGTAAAGTACAATAAGCTCATCCACCTCCTTCTTATCTCCACCTTCAGCACTTTTGTACAACAGGGAGCTGGCGGCAGCGTCATCACCGGATATCGGCCCAATATCAGCAATGTGCGTATTGTCCGTCAGCCAAAGATGGAGTTTTCCCTTTCCATTGGCTTCGGTATCTTCCTTCTCGGAATACACCGGCAGAGTGACAAGCATCACATTTCTCTTATCTTCAACACCGTCAATCGTCGCCGTGATGAACCCGCTTCTAACGCCACCTTCACCCTTTTTGTTGCCCCACACGCGCGAGAGTGTCCCGAGTGCCTCCGTCCACGACTCCCCCTTGTCACCGGACTCGTACACCCTGCGGCGGCCATCATCACACGCAGTCATCATCATGAGTTTGTCCTTTCACTCCACGACGGAGGGATCACTGCAGCCATAGGCAGACATCCCCTTCGACAGCGTCCAACTCTTAGTGCTACTCGAGGAGTATATGATCAGCGAGACGGTCTTTTTATCCTCCTTTGGTGCTTCACCCTTCTTCGTGCCTTCCACTGGGAACACAAGCGTGCCGTCATTAGTCTTAATACCCGATCCACCGCCGCCTATCAAATGCGTCAAGCATTTGTGTTCATCAGCAGCAAAGGCGCCGACCAGTCGCTGGTTCTCATTCCATTGGATTCTTTTGCCACCGCCACTTTCATCACTGACTTCCCCTTTCACCAGCAAAAATCCCCCGTCATTTGCTCCGCTCTTCTCACCAGCAGCTGTCTGGCTGTATTTCCCAGCAAGCATGTAAATATCATTTCCCTGCATAACTGTTGTTGGTCGGCTCACATCCACTTTCTTCCTTGAGTCTTCGGAAGTAGCTTCCTCCAGAAATTGTGTTTCTTTCACTTCATTCAGAGCTTCCACCGGTGTGTTAGCAGTTTGTTTCGGGAGAAGTTGCGATGCAATGCCAGTAAAACTGTCGCTTTCACCGTTCTTTTTGCACTGCGCCTCGGCAACGGCAAGTACGTCAGCCCCAACTTTTAGAAGGCCGGGAACACCCAACGACTCCACAGTTACACCGCCCTCATTCTTGACGTCCTTCCATTCAAACTGGGGTTCAGATGACGGCTCATCAGCTTCCGCAGCACCACCAGCATTGCGGCACATCATCACAACAAGGAGGAGCAGCACCGCAGAGTAGAAGAAGTGCCGGGACATGTTGGGCCTCTGCGGCTCACTCTCTCTTCCTTCCCTCCTCCTTCCGCTGGATCCGGTCACGCGGCGACGGTTGTGTGTGCGGGGTGCCTCCACAGCAGCAACACGTGAGAGCATATAAATATGTGTGTGTGGGCGGTGTGTGTGCTGTTGGTCCTTTCAGTGCCTTACAATTTCACAGTAGCGATTAGCGTTCGTTTTCCTTCTTTGTGTGTGAGAAAGAGAGAAAATGGAGTGAAACAGTGAACACCGCCACCCATCCACAATGAGTGGCACCGTCATCCCCACCGCAGTCACTCCCAACAACGACAACTGAAATGCACAGAGACGCACTGAATGAGACGGAAGAACAGTGCACCGGGAACACACATCGACTGCCACCAGCAGTAAAAGCCACGGCGGGTATGTTGTTGTTCTTCACGCGTCAGCACACAGAGAGCAACGCACACACACGCTGCCGCCAGTCGTTTTACTGTTATCTCTCCCCGCAACATCCACCGCACATCGCCCCGCACAGCCGGAGAATCCTCCGTCGCTGTATAAACAGCGGGAGAAACGCGTCGGCACGTGCAGCTGCTGGGCAAAAATCCATGCTCACTTATCCCAGGCACCCACAATGCCACACCACGTTAGTCAACTGCTGCACGACAAGAAAATCATGCCCTTAGCAAGGAAACAAAACAAATCGCGTTCTCCGTCATCCCTCCTCACAAAGGCCACAGAAAAATCGTGTGCGTGCGTCCTCAGCGTTCACGCCGCTCCATAAAGTGTGTGACATGGCGTGTGTGTGTGTGTTTGGCAGCGCCTATAATTGCAGAGCAGCTGTGCGCCACAAAAGAGCCCAAAGAAAGCAACGGCAGAGAAAAGCGGATAGCACACACACAGTTTACTCATATCATCACACACACACACACACACACACACACGCAGCCCGCGGAATGGGTGCTCTCAACCACAAAACAATGAAAAACAAAACAAAAAGCCGAAGCGTGGGACGACCAGCGCACACACTCTCATTGCTCCCGTAAAGCAAAACACGCACACACAGGGAGAGAGAGAGAGAGAGGTCGCCCACTCAATGCAATAAAAACAAAACAGAAACAGTTACGGGGCTCCGCCCATGCAGCCAGGCAGGACGGCAGCGGTGCGTGTCGTGCAAAAGAGAGCACCAACGGGCCTGCATGGGTGTGCATGCAATATATACAATGGGCACATTATGTGTGTGCTTCGTGGGATGAGGTGAGGGCGAGAGTCCATGCAAGGGGACACACACACAGAGAGTGAGTGAAAGACGAGTGTGTGTGCGGGCGGTGCACGGCTCTCTCTCCCTCACTCTCACGCGGCCACCACCGCAGCAGCAGCCGAACACGCAACAACAAGAAGAGGCAAAAGAGGGGAGGTGGTGTGGGAGACCGCGGTGCTGCCGTCACTGTCGCCAGTCGTCGCCGTTGTAGTTTTCATGGCCGTGGCTTCGACTGGTGTTTCTTTCGGATTGGCATCTTTATTTTCATTTTGTTTTTCTTCTGCTGTCCCTGGAGCATCAGCTGCTGGATCATTGTTGGGGATGCCCTCTTCAGTGCTCGTTTCAGATTCGTTATTGGCAGCATCACCGTTTGCTGTGGGTGATGGTGGCCTTGATTCTGCATGGCCGCCAGGTGGTTCATTCTTTTGATTGGCTGCGATGGTGGCAACGCTCTTTGTTTGTGAATGGTTGTTTGACTCAATGCCGTCTTGGGGTTGTTGTAACTGTTGCACCTCTCCTGAATCCTCAGCGCCGGAATGTCCATGCAGTGGTGTTGTTGGTATTGTTGCTTGTATTTCTGCCTCTTCGGCTGGTGCTGTTGTTAGTGTTGGTGCCTCATGACTTGTATTTTCTGTATTTAATTCGTTTTTTTCTGGTTCTTCTTCCGCCCTCTCTTCACGACTGTCAGATTGGCTAAGAGGATCACTTTCGTCATCTTCCGCTGAATCATCGGAGGATTCATCACTCTTGGAAGTATTCTCCAAGTTGTGTTCTTCACCGCTCTGAGTGCCAGGGCTGCCAGATGAAGAAGAGGAAGAAGATGATTGATCAACGCTTTGAAGTTGGGGCCCAGTTGCCGTACTGTCGTTGCGATCCTCCTTATGATCTGCTTCCTTTCCTCCATTTGCATCCAACCCTTCTGGCTTCACCACCTGTCCTCCTGTACCTGATCCTCCGGGCGTCGGCGGTATTGCTGCTGCTGCTGCTGCGACACTACCTCCTTTTGAACCAGGCGCTCCGCTACGCACTTTCTTATCACTTGATGATACCTTCGAGTTATCCTGAGGCGGGTCTGGGCCACTCAATTCTTGTCCAGCTTCCACAGCTTCAACCGCCCTTATTAAACCCATTCGAGTGGATAACAACCCGCAGTCCGCCTTTAGAGACACGCCGTCATCTCCACCATTACTCGTGTGCCTCAAACCGTTCCCTCCACCCTCACTGCAGTAATCGTCCATCGCGTGTCCAAAAACCGCACCGCACCACAGCACGCAGAGGGCACACACCAGTAGCACACGGCCAGTCATCATCATCGCCATCACTCCTGCCAGTTACGTGTAGCCTTCAGCACAAACTAACAACACGTCAACATAAAGTGAAAGCAAAAGGGGAAAAATGTTAAAAAACCAAGCACTGTCCCATCCAGCAATGAGAGTCACGCACAACAATAGCAACAATTAGGTGGGCACGGTTCAACAACAATCAAAAAAAAAAAAAAAAAAGAGGAGCGCTCCTCGCACGCGACCCGTTCCTCACACCCACACACTCACTACTACTGTTATTCTCTCTCCTCAGGCCCTCACAGGCACGCCACGCTCACTCCAGCACGCGCCCCTCCAGCACAGGCCTCGGGATCGTCGGGCCCTCCCACCACACGCAGCCGTCATGCGCTCCCGCTGCGCCGCAAAGTCCGCCACCTTCTCCCACTCCAGCAGCTCCGTGTCCGCCACGTCCCTCACAATCGCCGGCATGCCACGGCCACACAACACACACAGCGCCACAACGTCGTGCCGCCACTCTGCCGCAATCATGAGCGCAGCACCCAACTCGTACTGGCACACGTGCCCCATGCGCTGCAACCACACGCGGATCAGCCTCACCGTCATGCACTGCATCTCGTTGTCCTTGTGGTTGGAGCACACCTCCCATCCTCTCAATCCACGTCCTGGTTCTGCAAGAGGCTGCGGAGAGGAGCCGCGTGCGTGAAAGACCCCAAAGTGCGGGGTGTAGTTGTCAGCCACCCACGCTCAGTTCCTCGCACCTCCCCGCACCCTCCACTCTCCCACACACAAGAGCGGTGCCATGGGAGAGAAAGAGAAGTCCGCCGCACAACACATGCACAAATGCACACGCAGCAGCAACGCCATCCAAGTCGCGCTGCAAGAAAGATCCATGCGCACCGCACACACACAACCACAGGGAAAGTGGGACGGAGCGCATCCAAGAACAGAGCGGTGTCCTTCAATTCCCTCTGCCCTGACAAATTGGCATCACGCCCCACAGCAGGTTGTGGCGGATTAGTGTTCCACACCCACAGTGAGGCACGGCGCACACCATCCGTTCCCCTCCGAGTGCACTCAGCAGACCGTGGCAGGGCGCCCAGTCACCCTCGTGCCATCGCAATGGGAGAGCAAGCAATCGTCGTCGCGGACCATCACTGCCTCTAGCAGGAAAGAAGAAAGAATAAATAAAGGGCATTTCAACAGCACAGTCAGCAGAGGGACACTCAACGGGACACGGCAACACAAAGCGACGGTGAGCACAGCACAAACGGAAACAAGCCGCAGCGAGTTACCCAAAAGAAAAAAGTGTGAGTCCAGCGGAACCCGCAAAATTAAATAATTGTTCGGGTAGGACTTTTATTTCATGTGCCTAGAAGCACATGACAGCCGTGTGCATACATTTTGCCCGCACAAAAAATGGAAACTAAAAAACAGATCTTGCTGTTCCACGAGCCCACACAACATCCTTCACAATTCATGCGGCATCTGGCCTGTTCCTCCAATCCTCCTTTGTGCATTCCGTGGGAAACACAGCAGTGAGACCGGCACCGCGTGTGGGCAGCAAAGAAGACAAAAGGGGAATACGTCACTCGTGACGGTGTGCAGCTTCAATAACTGAAAAAGAAAAACATTATTGAAACAAAGTACCAAAATAAAAACAATGAGAATAATCTTCCGGGCAGCTGGCCGGATCCTGAAATAATCTATGGAAACCAAACAAGTTAGGAAAAAAGGAGTTCGTTAGTTAATTGCTTCAATGTTTTCTTTTCATTCAATATATAGAATTCTGTGGACCACTAGCATGGTGCTTTGCCCTCGGTTAGGATTTAAATATTATTACTTACGAAGTGGCTGACTTTGGGGTCCTCCAACCACAAGACCCCGCCGCTCCCCTTCGCAAGTTCCACCCCTTCGCCAAGTCCTGAAGTGTAAACATACGACCGCGTGATATGCCGTCTGCGGGGTTTTCTGCAGACCGCACGTAGGCAAAAGTTGCCTGCACCCCGCGAGAGTCCAAAAACTCATATATCCGTTGCAGCTCCCACGTCAACGCGTGCGATTTCGAGCTACCTTTATTCGCCGCTCCTTGCAGCAAAGTGTTGTCCACCCAAACGTCCATGGCGGATGGCAAGATGGCGATAAAAAGCCGATAAGGCTAAGCGTACCGCGCGCGCCTCGGCTTGCATGATAAGAAAAGGTTCCTCTCCCATTCCCTCCGGCAATTTTAACGTCGCCGAAGTCTGGAATAAAAACGGCTCTCTATCCATGGAGCGATGCTTCCGTGATGATGGCGGCCGATGCCTTTTCCGTGGGCTTGATGATTCGCTTGCGATTGTTCTCGATGATGTGTCGTAATCTCTCGCCCAAACCAACCGCTGACGGCGGAAGGTTCGCCGGGGATGTCTCCTGCACAATTCCCCGGTTAAGTGCCGATAATCGTCGTCGCACTGCCTTGATGAAAAAGTAGTAGTCGCATAAACGCGTGCCCAAAATGGCAGCCGCGTACAAAAAGCGTGACGCCGTAACCTCCATTTCCGCGATGGTTAAAGAATTGAGCGCCGGCATGGCGCGTACAGAGCGGACAAACTTGTCACTCAGGGATACCGCCTGGTGAGCGTGATCGGACTGCACCCCCAGAAGGTGTACTGCGTAGTGCCCGATTCGCGGTCCTCCCCCATGGTTGCGTGACAGCCGTCCGCATTACGAAGTACTTGGGCTTCCCACAATGTCGCACCGCTTTTCGACCCCGCAATGCGTATATTATCATCGATCCATACGTCGACATGCACCAACGGAGGTGCAGCCCAGAGGAAGTGAGCCACCGTCGTCACCACCGCAATTGCCGAGGTAATAATGATCTGGAGAATTTCTGGGCTGGCCTTGTATCCCATTGGGAGCCGTGTCAGCTCCACCAGCGTGCCGTCCTCCACGCGGCATCAAAAGAGATGCCGAGTCTCCTGCGGTAAAGAGACTTGAAAAAAGGATGTCTTTAAATCCAGGCAGGAAGCGGCCTCAGCCATCACAGGTGGCAAATAATGGGAAATGTGTAAAAGAGGAACATGAGCCTCATAAGGGTCGTCTCTGTTCTTGTCGCGTGGCCACGCAATCCATCGTCGTCGTAAACCGGTGGTTTTCTCCTCCACAACCGAAAAAGGTATTATCCATCCGCTTGTTATTGTGGACGAAGCGTCCTCGATTATTCCCGCTTTTCGTAACAAACGCGCGTCAGCGGTTGGAATCCTCCGTGAGCCTTCGCGCGCCTTACCGGAGGAAGACGGAGGGAAAGGGGACCGCCCGACGAGTCCCCAAACTTGCATGAGCCTCTCCAAGGTAACCGGGTTCAACCGACTCATGATCCACTCTATATTCAATACGGGCACGTTGACTCGCTGTAACGGGATAGCGTGTTCATCTTGTGGAGTGGCCAGACGCGTCCTTTTCGCGCGTCTTGTAATTGTAGCGGCATGATGATTAAAAATCATGGAAAAAATGCTCCTCTGCTTTCAACCAGGGTTCCTGCCCTTCCGCAGTCTCTCCCCTTCACATCAATGCGACCAGCGACGACAACTGGGTCAGCATTGTGGTGTAACTCCCCAAATATCGAACAGTATTCTGGGGAAGGTCGAACGAGTCGACGTGCTTCACCAACTGCGAGATCACGTGTGGGTCCAAATTGTATGTCTCCACGATTTGAGCAGCGCGCCTCAACGCACCACGTTTTATGGAATGTGCCGTGGCATTCCAAGGAACCAGAACTCGTTCGACTTTGGCAGTCGTAAGATTCGTGAGCTTTTCGTTTTCGTGAAGTGTCCTGCATAGCTTTATGATGTCTAACGCGTCGTGCCCTCGTATCCTCACGAACCGCGAGGCGCGGCGGGGATCCACTTTCGCCGTCTTCGGCGCCACGGACCAATCCAAAATTAAGGTCCCGTCCGCCTCCAGTGTGAAATTGTTGGGAGTTAAGGCCGCAACCTCGGACCAACAACTCGCCGTTATCCACGCAAGTCGAAAAACAACACGTTCCTTCCAATCGGTCCGGCCGCGGATAACTTGATTCATCTCTTCCTCTGTCAAGGGGCGCGCTTGCTTCGTCTCCGAGCGCGCC